TAGGAGGGACAGCAAGTCCAGCCTTTTTGGTTGTTTTCCTACCTCTGATCCTTTCTTCCTGTGGGACAGGTTTGAAGTTGATGAGTGGGAGTGCACAATTGCAAAGACATTTTATGTACCTTCAACCATTATCACCCCCTTTTGAGAACATTATTATTTTTTTTTTCCTAAAGCTTTATTTTCAGGTTTTGGAATTAAGGTTTGAAACCTGGGAAATCACAATGGTGGTTTTATTTTTCTCAGTTCATATTGATTTCCTTATGTCTTCTGTCTGGGAAAATAAAGTAAAATGATCATTTTTCCTTCTGTTTTTGAAAATTCATTCTTTATTAATTAGTATCATTATAGATATATTACCTTTATGAAATAATTAATTAATTCAGACAGAAGCATATAATGCTAGTAGGAACTTTGGAGAACATTTAGTCCAATGTCTTTGTTTTAACAAATCAGAAAAATCAGGTTAAGAGCATTTGTATCATATGTTCAGACTTAAATAGCTCTTTATTGGTGGTGCTAGGATTTTACCTCAGGATTTGTCCTGGCACAAAATTCAACATTTTTCCTACTATTTCATGTGATATTAAATAGTTTTCTGTTTGAAAAATTGTTTAAAGCGTAAAGCTGTATGAAGTGGCATACACCTGTAATCCTAGCTACTCCAGAAGCTGAAGCAGGAGGACTACAAGTTCCAGGCCAGACCGGGCAACTTAGCAAGACCTATCTCAAAATAAAAATTTAAAAAGCCTGGGGACATAGCTCAGTGGTAGAATACCCCTTGGTTAAATATTCATTACCCATCCCCAATGAAGTCAATATATCATAAGAGAAATATATACTTATATAGATATTCAGAATTATAATCTTTTGTATGTATATGTGTGTGTCTGCATATCCATAACATTGATCCACCTAATGAACATACAGACACAGGAAAGCTGGGTAATTTAAATCTGAAGTGAAGGGAAAGGTTATTTTGGTGGGAAGTGTTTTTTTTCCACTTTCTAGTCAGAATTTCAATAGCAAATAAGGAAATATGAATCAAGTATCATAATCCATTAGCTGAGTAACAGATAGCATATTACATATTTCTTTTTATTTCTCAATGAAACAGTGATTATAAAAGTGCTTCAGTGGCTGTTGTGTGAGCATAATCAACTCTTGAATGCTATTTCTTGTTAGTGTTTCAGTTTCGCTGTAGAGAGTTTCGTTGTTTTGAATTATGTGGATTTCCCATGTATTGACTGAGTAAAGATGGATGAATTTGATATAAAGAGCTACCATAGAAAATTAGCCCTGATTCAAGAGTTCATCCCACACAGCAGAATAAGGGTAGATGTGATTGAGTGACTACCATCCTCACTCCCACTCTGTCCTGGAAGAAAGCAGAAAGGCTTGCCACTAATATGTGGCAATGGCATCTGCAGGGAGCTTGTGGAAATCTATAATCTAAGACCTACTAGTCAAGATCTGCATTTTAACAGGATCCCCAGGTGATTCACGTGCATGTTAGAATGTGAGAGGCCTGCTTTATTAATTGCATAGAGGTACCCATCATTAACTTTGGTTTTGAAATCTGTCAGGCAGAAAAGTACTGTTCTCGAATATTGCCTTTGTGCTTTCATTTAGCAAATATTGCTGAACTACACTAGGTGTCAAGCTCTGTTTAAGGGATGAAAGATAAATTTAAGACATACTGCCTGCTCACCAAATGGGAGAGATGAATAAAACTAATGATTATAGTGCAGTGTGGTAGGCCCAACAATAGATTTCTATAAGGTATCTATGCTTCCACATGTTCCCAGCTTACTCTGGGCAGACGGGGAGGAGGGAGGATCACATAAAGCTTGCTGGGTGGAATCTATTGTTGAATAATGAATTGACACAAACTTAGCAGCTTGAAGCACTCATTTATTTTATTCCAGTTTCTGGGAAGTCCAGGCATAGCTTATCTTGCTCAGAGTCTGAGGGTGAAATCAGTGGTAGTGAGGCTGACTTCCAGTTTGGGGCTCAGTGTCCACATCTAGGCTCCTGTGCTTGTTGGCCGATTCCATTTCTTGTGAATCTAGTACTCAGATCCCTGTTTCCTTTCTAAATGTTAAGCAGAGGCCACTGTCTGTCATATTCTAGAGGCTACCACAGTTCTCAGAGACCCTCTAATAGCATAGTGAGCTTGTATCACAGGAATTTGATGGAAGAAAATAGAAATTCACTGATGGTTGTGTTGGTGAGTCTGAGAGTGGCCCAGGTGGTGTGGAGTTTGTAGAATGAGGTAGGCAGTGGTGGACAGGGACTTCAGGGAGGTGGCAGTGAAGGCTGCACATGGCATGGAGAGACACAAGTAGGGCACTCAAAGGAGGGCCTAGGGTGTGCAGGGAGGATGGGAGAGTGCAGTGACATGACCGTCTAGGGAGGAGGGACAGCCAGATAAGCACATTCTGTCACTCTGTTGCCAGTCATTCAATACAGGGAGACCCTGATCAACACTGGACATTGTGGTTTATTCACACTTTCAAAGACCACTGCAGTTCTTGGCATATAGTAATTTCTCAGAAATATTTTTTGAAATGAGTAATTGATTCAGTTAGGATTTCAAGATCTTGCTTACTTCCCCCTCAGAATGCTTCTTTCATGAGAGATTTTGTAATTTGTGCTGTGCTTTTTTAGGTGGTAAACAAAAGTAGCCAGGCTAGGCTGGTTTAGTTTTTATGAAGTCCCTGATACATTCTTTGCAATTTGAAAACTGGCAAAATAACTGTGATGGTTACCATTAATTGAGAGTCTGCCATGTCCATGTATTGTTAAAAGGACTTTACTTGGGTCGCTAATCCTTAAACAGTCTTGTAAAGGAGATGTTATTAATCTCCAAGTCACAGATTAGGAAACTATGGAGGCTAAATAAATATTTTGCTCAACATCATCCAGCTAGTAAGGGGTGGAGTTGGTATTTGAACCTTTGGCTGTCGGACCCAAAAATTTGTACAGAAAAAGAACTCTCTTATTCTGTACAAAGTACTAGGTAGCCTAAGAAGCATATGAAAATATAAGGCTTTGGCAATTAAAATACTATAGTACTGGAACATGAATTGACTGACACTCTGAAGAGAGAGGTCAGAAAGCCAGAAATAGCATTGAATGTACTTGGGAGTTCAGTGTGAAATGCACAGATCTTAGTCTGATGGCAGAAGGAAGATATTAAGTAAGTGGTGTTGGGTCAAGTGGGGAGCTATCTATGCTAAAGTCAGTTGTCTTTACTTCATATCCTACCTATCAAAGATTTAACTATAAGACATGAACCACAGTGTAGTGGTCATAAACAAAAGGGGAAAGATTTTATAATCTCGGCGTGGAAAGGCTTGTTTTACTTTTACTCAAATCTACAAGCCATGAAAGAAAAGTTTGATAATTTCTTAAAACAAACAACAAATATTCTGCATTGATATTAAAAAATACCACAAGGAAAATGAAAAAAAGAACTTACATACTAGGAAAATAAGTAATTTATATCATATCATAGACAAAGGACTCATCTTTCTGATTTATCAAGACCAGAAGTTGGGTAATCATTTCAACAGAAACATAGAACAATGATAAAAAGAGATATTGTATAGAAAAGGAAATACAAATGCTTTTAAATATATAATGTGATCTTCAACTTCTGCATAATGAAGCAAATGCAAATGACAGCTATAATGAAATTTCTGTTTTGACCCGTCATCTTGTTAAAAAATCCGAGACTTTGATAACACACCCTATTTACATGACTGTGGGGAAATAGACACAGATCAAGCTTGTCACCCATGAAGTGGAGCTTCCGAGGTGTGGTTTGACTTGATAGTATCTAGCAACATAGAGATGCGTGTCTCCTTTGACATGGCAGTGCCACTCTGCAGTCACTCTACAGATAACCTGGCATGTGCACAAAACTGCACATGTTCAGATTTTCCACTGCAACAGTGTATAATTGAAAAAGAAAAAAAAATGACTGGTTACACCTAAAGTAAACCCTGACATATCTGTTTATACCATGCAGGTATTAGACAAGAATGAAAACACCCTTTATAAGTCTGCCTGGGAGGGAAATATCACTCAGGTATTTTAAGTAAAAAGACAGGTAGAAAAAAATGCTATGAAATGTTATCTTTTGTGTATTATGGCAAGAAAATGAGGATATATATTTATGTTTCATTGTATTTTTATGAAGAAAACTTACCAATGATATATTATAAGCCAATCACAATGATTATGAGAGTAGGAATATTAAGAATTGGTCAGATGTGGGAGGGCAGGGGGAACATTTTCACTATATCTTCTGTATGTATAATATTATCTGTGTACCTATTTATAACTATATCTTGAACCACATGAACTCAAAAAACAAAATAAATTAGTAAAATAAATTAGAAAAATAAGCTTCAGGAGCTGTGGTCAGTGTGTTCTGCCTGGTGGAGCACTTGACCTAGAGATGGGTTCTATGACATGCTTATTGCTTATGCTTATCCTTTTGCCATACCTGAACTGTGGCTTCTTTGCAGGAAACTTTGAAGTCACTTTTCCTTTCTGCAAAGGACATTGTGATAGATATTATAATCATAACAGAGCACTACAAAAGTGCAGTAGGCTCTGATAGGGTAAAAGCAAAGACGGATGGAGAGCTTGACTTGGACTGAGAACAAGCCTCTTCTGTCATTTACCTCCAGTGTGGCTGTCAGGTCCAGGGATCCAGTTTGTGAGGACATCTATGTTCACTTCCATATTAGCTGCTGTTGAGGTAAACTTTCTCTTGTATTTTAGCCAATGAACAATTAAGACAGTAGTAAAGGATTCCTCCCATGACCATGTGGATTGTTGCATACGACCCTGTACCCAGAAAGTACTGGCTACTGTGTATTGTCCCCTCACTAACAGAGATCTTCATGGCTTTGCTTCCTGAGAACAGAATCATTAGTTTCAAGCAGTTATCTAGAAATATGATCTAACCCATGTTTTCTGTTTTCCAGGAGCAAGTTGAAGAGGAGAAGCGGGGGAACGGCACAACCCTTTTGAGTCATGGTAATTATCACCACTGGTTACAGTTTTAGAGCACAATGAAATTTTTATTAGGTTGCTTTAGTTATTTTAGTCTTATTAATTTATATATATATATATAATAGTCTTTATCCCATTTATTACAACATGTTACGTATTATTCTGCAGAATTCATCAATGCCATCTGTGATTTTCAAATATATACACGAAGAGAGTATATATTATTTCCAACTTTTCACCACATATAAATAATACCACAAGGACCAAGATATACTCAAATTAAATGTGCATTCTTATTTCATTGAGAGAAATTTCAAGAAGAGGAATTCTTTAGTTGAAGGATAAGTTTAAAACTTTGGTAAATATCACCGAAAGTCTTCCAAAACAATAAGACCGAATTCTGTTCCTTGTAGCAGTGAAGCAAAAGCCTGTCTTCCCCAGCCCTCAAGCAAGGGGAATTAATGGTATCTCATTTACTTAGCTTTAAAAAAAACTTTAAAGAAAATTTCTAGTTTGTAAACTCTCTCTGTGAACCAGAAAATAAGAGATGCTATTTAGTTTATTTGCAACTCTTGGCTGAAGGTTTCCTCACCTTTGTTTACTCTTAAAATGATTACATTTGTACTCTTTGATGAAAGCCATGCTTTAGAGGAGATGTACTTTTACTCTAAAATGAATATTCCTCATTATAGTTAACCCATCAGTGGGTTTCAGACAATAGCCTTTTAGCATTTGACAGATTCTCTGAAACTTTAAATCAATAAATGAAGATGCTACTTCACTGGAATATATATTCCACATTATTTTGTAATTTTTTTGCATACAAGCAGAGAATTGATAGTAAATTTTCTGTAAATGTAGTTGAATGTCCAGCAATATTTGTGCTATTCTCAGTGGGAAAGAGACAGATAAATTTGATAATGCTCCTCTAATAAACTTTTAGAAGTACCTTAAACATTTGTTGAGTAATAAGTCTTCCATTTTATTTGTTTTTAAGTATTGAAAACATCTGAAAGTACTTTGAAAAATGACAAACAGTAATTTAAATTTTAAAAGACCACCTTATATTTCTTAGCCCTGAAACATTAAAAATTTGTGACCTACCACCTAAATGATACTTAAAATAAAGTTGTTTTCTATTACAACCAAACACTGTATGCTATTTTAAATTTCTTGTCTTCTCTGGCTGCCACCCCAGGCCTGTCATGTTCTTTGCTGAAAAAGCAAAATAGGATGCAGTAGTTTGATAATTATGTAACTTGATGTTTAGCTCTTTTGAAATATACTTCAGTTATGCAACACTGGAATTTTAGAAATAAATTTGGACTGTACCTTGCCCTAATGGTAGGGACTTTTTTAAATAAATTTTTTCTTCTCAGAAAAAGGTGGTGATTTACGATGTTGTTGTCTCCCGTGCATCTGTATTTTAACATTATTGTAAGTTGTTTTAGGTTCTTTTATTTTGTGGTTGAAACATTCACTGTAGGAAAAAAAGATCAGATTTAGGTCAATAATGTTCAGTTACCAAACGAAGAGTCTTTAATATTTATAATTTCACTCTATCCTGACATATGTTTATCTTAGTGTTTCATTTTAGTAGAAGCTACATTTTCCTGTTCTTTTATTGGAGATTGGTCCATAATAGATTAAAGGAATCAGATAAGGTAATCAGATTCATCAAGATCTTAATCAAAACCAGGCAAAGTACTCAGTTTCACTGAAATGTAAAAAAGTACAAATTCAAAAGTAGTGATGATATTTTGGACCTTCCAGATGAACAATAATTAAAAAAATTGTCCTTGTGGCACTATTTATAAATGGTGAAAAGTTGTAAATAATCTAAAGGTTAAACATATTTAGAATATAGGTAAAACACTGTGGCACAACTTTATATAGAAAAATATGTCATCTAAATGCCTTTGAAGAAATTTAAATTACATGAGAGGAAAAGATTATAATAAAATATTGAGGGGAAAAATTCCCATGATATTAGTCAGAATGATGGCCAAAATTAACACATATTCATAGGAGAAATGAAAAAGATGTTAACAATAGCTATTTTAAGTAGTGAGAAAAAAAGTATATATCCTGAGGGGTTTTTTTTTTTTTTTTGCAATTAGTTTGTATCATGTTACAATAAGACAAATACTCTTAAAAATAAATTTAGAGACTCCTGAACACTAAAAAAATTAATTTCTGGAATTGAGTATATTGTTGGAAAATCCGTTGTTTGATTTTTCTTTTTTAAATAAGTGTTTTGTTTTGGAATAATTTTAGATTTACAGAAAAGTTGCAAAGATAGTTCAGCGGTAATTACTGTGTACTCCTCAGCTAGTTTCTCCCTACATTTAACAACTTACATGACCCTGGAATTTTTGTCAGAACTAAGAATTAATATCAGTGTATCACTCTTCACTAAACTGCAGACTTTATTCAGATATCACCAGTTTTTCAACTGATACCTACTTTCTGTTCCAGGATTCAGTCTAGAATATCACTTTGACTTATTGTACATGGTTTCTTTTACTGTGTTCTTATCTTCTCTCATGGCCAGAAGTTGCCAGTAGCATCTGAGTTTCTGGAAAGCTACAGTGTTTCCTTACATGCTACCTAGTCTTCTTTGCTCTGCTCCAGTCTTCCAGAACATGCAGTGTAGAACTTACTTTTGAAGAAACACTTTTCTGCTCTGAGGGTCTTTCTTCAGACTGGCTCCTTCAAAACCTCATTATATTCTCTACTTTTCTTATTTTATATATTTTTCCCTACTCTATTTTTTTTTCTTAGCATATCTCGGGGCACTTGTTTTCCAAAAAAAATTCAGTTACCTAATTTTTCATATCTTCTACTTAAGTATATCTGTTCAGGCCAATCAATCCAAAAGGACCTATTATTTTGTACACTGAGGTAATAATTTACTAGAACTCTGAAGAATTAATTAGCTAAACATCCTGAAGAAGAATTAGCACAGCTTTCAGAAGTGCTTAACTTACTTTCAGAGAGTGGTTAGTGCTGGGAGATGTGGCTCATTACGTGATTCTAAAAGCTTCAGATGGACTGACCTTTGAATATTATCCTAGAGTCTTTTGTTCTTGTAGCCAGCTTACTTCCTAGGTGTAACAGCAGAGGTACTGTTCTTACAAAATAATTATACCCCAGTGGAACTAACTCCTGCATTTTCTAAGCTTTGTGAGAGGTCTGTTTTCTTCCACTAAGGCAGTTGCTTTCCTAAAAGTAAATTTAGAGTAAATTTCTTAAAAGTAAATTTAAGGAAAAAGGAAAACCAAAAAGGAAAACCAAATCCATTTCACTTCACTCAATTTCTAGTAATATAGATGGCCCTATTATTAAATAAACAATTAAATATTTAGGCACTTGGCTACTTTGAACCTAAAGAATTCCGTGTTCACTAGTCCATGAAGCTATTATGGGAGGATAAACAGGGAATACTTTCTAAATAATGAACTTCTTGTGGGGGCATTGTAATAATTGAAGCATTCGTGTGCACTTAATGAAAATGCTACTGTAATAAATAGTCTCCAGGGCATATTTTTAAGTCATTTGTTTGCTTTCGATTCTAGCTTATATAAATGGTTCATCTTTGAACCTAATTGATCTCCCTTATGGCATCCTGCCACTTCTTGGTGAACTGGTGGCACTGTGAATTCAGAACCTGACAAAGGGAAGGAACACATCTGTTTTCCTCTTGAAGTTAGAAGTGATCAATGCGTAAAACTGGATAAGGCACATCGGGTTAGGGACTGTATTTATAACACTTGTTTTATGAAGGCAGCTTTTATAGGTTACATAGAATTCTTTAATACATGAAAGTTAAAATCATGTTAGAATTTTTCCCTCACTGAAGAAATTCTGTGAAGCTTTCTGATTATTCATAATTGTAAGCCATCCTACAGAGCAACCCTTCCAAAGGCAGCACTAAACTCTGCCACATGTGTGATTAGAGGTCCCTCATGGATAAAGGTATTGAACTCTAGAAAAGGACTGAATCCTTGATGCTTGGTGTGATTTAGCAAAAGGGAATGTCACAGTGCAGTGAAGGAAATGTTCTAGTGGAGACACTTTTGAGTCCTTTGAGTTGCAGGCAGGGCCTTGTGACAGCCTCTTTCTCTTGCCTGAGTCAGCCCTCCATCTTACTTTTGCAGATCTTGCTCATTCTCTTGCTAAAGACAAAAGCTTCTGTTTCATTTGGAGCCTGAGTGAAGGATTCTTTCCACTAACACGCCTTGCTCTTTTAAAGCATATTTAATTATTGTTTGGCATAATTACCTTTTGCGTCTTACATTAAAGCTGCTCCTTTGAAGGCTTTTAATGTTCATTGAGACCTAAACTTTTTCACTTGAAATATTTGGAACATGGGCTTATTTTCTGACATGCCTATTTTAGATGACTTCTCATCTCCCTACACTCTCTTGGTTTCTAGAGTGAATGCATTCTTTTTTTTTTAGCATATATTTTTAAAAGTTGTGAAACTATCAAACTTATAAAAATGTAGGAAGTAGAGTATAAAGAAAATTTTCCTCTTACTAATAAGTAAGTTGCCAACCCCATACTCATCAACCCTAATTCTTTATTATATTCCTACAAAGAAAAACATGCTCTTAAAAAATAGGAGATCTCCATTGATCCATTCCTGACAGGCCTCTAAGCTTCAGACCCCATTCAGGTTTCACCAGTCATCCCAGGAATGTCCTTTAAGTGAAAGGATCAGTTTAGAATCATGCTGTGCATAGAGTTGTCCTGTGTCTCCAGGCTGCTTAGTCCTGAACACTTCCTTAACTGTTCCTGAACTTTCATGACCTTGACACTTTCTAGAGCACAGGCCAGTTATTTTGCAAAATGTCCCCCAGTTTGGATTTGTCTGATATTCCTTCTATATTACATTCAGGTCATCATCTAGCTTTGGGGGAAATATCACAGAAGTGATGCTTTTTTAGAGTCCTTATTGCATTCTGTTAAGTGGCACATAATTTTGATTTGTCTTGTTTTGGATGATAAGTTTGATCTCT